ACACAACGGGATATCAATTTATATTCGTGTACATTCAGAGTGACAAATATTTGATGTAACAGTATAGCAAATTATGCACAAATTAAGTTTCATGAAAAGAACAACCTCAGAATTTGGAATGGGGGGGGGGGGTATAAAAAAAATATATAATATGACACTGAGCTTCTGAATTCTTATGCTGACTTTTCATCTGAACACCAAATTTAATACAATCAAGATTGACAAACCTTCCCCTTGACATCAAGTATGTATATCGCTGATATAGACATCTTGAATGTTGTTGAATCCCTAACAAAATATCATAAGATTTACTGCATGTCACTCTCCAAGATCTGTAAGAGAAAGTGAAAAAATATAAATGATGAAGAAAACATTGTTATACATATAATTCTCTATGACTACCATAATTCAAAAAGGAATAAAATAAACATTTTATGAAAACCATAAATTCTATCTAGAAAACAAGAAAACATTGTTATACATATAATTCTCTATGACTACCATAATTCAAAAAGGAATAAAATAAACATTTTATGAAAACCGTAAATTCTATCTATTCAAGACATGCTGCAACTGTTCTTGCTTCCTTTATCATGTCTGGTCAATTGTGGTCAGTGTGGAGGTACAGCCACTCAAAATAGGCTTGTCGACTGTTTAGCCTTATCTATCGCAAAATCATAGACACATACAGAAACAGATACAGATACATAATATATATGTGTATAGAGAGATAGATAGATAGATAAAAATACAGATATGAGATATATATAGATATAGATATAGATATAGATATATTTGTAAATATTTATATAGACAGATATAGATATTATTCTATATACATATATATAGTATATATATTATGAATGCATTAATACTAAAATCTTGCTTGATACCACAACTGAAACTGAAACTAAAATTTATCAGTTTTATCTAAATCTATGGATTTTTTTAATATCTTCTATATTAATTAAATCTATTGCCTGTATACTTTTTAGAAATCTCTATCATCAAGATGTCATTAACTTGGCAGTGTTTAGGTTTATTACCACATTCAATCCCAGAGTTACATTTCATGCTGTATGTAGCATGATACAATTATAATATTATAAATTATAGAGATTTGGATGATAAAAATATAATGATTTTAATGGTTTTACTTGCTATGCATATCAAATCACTCAGTATCAATGGTTCTCTCGCTTTCTCTTGAAGCTCATGATTGCCATGTCATTCAAGGATGTATGTTTTAGTCAATGTGTTTGAAGACTAAACACAGTACTGTTGCCATAACAATATTCTCCAAATTCTCAAAATAGATCTGGTATAGTATCAAAAGATGATTTTAGAAAGCAATTAAAAACAAAACATCATCGCTAGCACAAGGAACAAATAGTTACTTAATGTAATTGTACATAGATGCAGATTAACCCCTTGATGCCGGGTGACGGCGATACGCGTGTAAACAAATCGCTTGAAAGGTGGCGTACGGCCAAACCAGCCGGCGGCGCGCCAAAGCGCGGCGAGCCAGTGATTCGGGCTGACGCCCCGTACTCCGGCGCTCAAAGTCGGCGCGCTGCCTTTGTTTGCCAGAGCGTAGAGTTTTATTTTCCTTTTGTACACCCGGCGTCATTGGGTTAATTGGAGAGAATATGTGGCATCTGCTCAATGAAAACAGTCTATTTTCATTTCAGTACAACAAAACAAATGACAAATATAGATCTAAGGAAATAGCTAAACAGCATATACTGATTAAAAGCTAACAGCATAGCAAAGGGAAGAGGAGTCTTGATACTGGCCATGATTATTTCCATGTGAGTCAGGCTAACAAGACACACATCGAAGAGAGTTGCCGTTCAAGTAAACCTAATGCCAGGACTTTGGTTCACAAGCAAGAGACAAGGCAATCAATAACCTAAATCTAACTAGAAAATGTCAAACAAGTGACACTATTACTTCATGATTTTCTTCCATACGAAAAGAAAATGCAACAATTTTCCTTCACTGACAACATACTTAACTTTTAGGAAAACTTTCTGTACATGTCAACCAAGACTACAGTAAAATAAGGAGTGGTTACCTTGATGAAAACTAAGACACTCATCTAAGGCAACAGGTGCGGAAATCTAAAATAAGGGAGATACAGGACAGAGAAGAGATTCTCAAAAACAATTAACACATTTCCTTTAAATGAGAATTGAATCACTAACAGGTGAAGTTGAAAAAAAAAGTTTCCCATCGGAAAGGGCATCACAGGCCCCTGCATTCACCATTATAGTGAAATATTATCCTCATTATAGTGTCATAGTGTTAGTTCACCCCACAATTCCCATGGTACTCCCCTGCTTATATGTGTGCTAGAGGGTCAGAGAAATCCATCATAACCAAAATCATAGCAATTGTTATACGAAGGTAGTGTCAAAATTAACCAAAAAACCGTAAAACAAAACTAAAAACGAGTCTCTTCTGTACAGTGTGTTGCAATATGGCCTTTCATCGCAATTTCCCTTCAAAAATTCTTCATCAGACATTCCCACCTTCACCCTTTGGTAAAAAAAAAATGCATCAATCACCATCACGTAATCAAAGCAGGTGACGTGACGAATAATAAAAAGAGTTGTAATTTGACACTTAGACGGTCGTCCTTGTCAACCTGTTGGAAGATCGTCTATAAAACTAGATATTTACGGACTTCTTTTCGGCCTTTTGGGATCACCTGCGAATTGGGAATCTCCTAAACTATCTACCTGTCACGACAACAGAGGCCTATCACCTGTGTCAAGCGAATTACCTGGATAATAATAATTGAGAGAAGGTTTTCAGCCTCGACCGGGAGGGACTGTTTACCTCGCTGGCATGGCGAGACTACCCGATGCGCCGCCGATCCTCACTGGAGAGTTTCTCTGTGACTCGGATGGTCATAAATGCCAACTTGGGCGCTTGAGAGGGAATTGGTGTCATGCTTTCAGTGCTCTTCAGTGTATCCAAATACGCTTCTGAAAAAATATGCATATATATATATATATATATATATATATATATATATATATATATATATATATATGTGTGTGTGTGTGTGTGTGTGTGTGTGTGTGTGTGTGTGTGTGTGTGTGTGTGTGTGTGTGTGTGTGTGTGTGTGTGTGTGTGTGTGTGTACAT